ATGTGCTTGTTGGCTGTGTCAGATGTACATCAGGTCCTTTGGATAAGTACAATTTTCAATAACGGAACAAGAAAATATTCTATTGGAAAAACATGGAGGCCGCATTTTAACGTTAATGCTGCTGAACAAATCCATCTTGTTTGGCGATTAAGTGATTGAGTCCTAAAAGTATTTTATTTAAGGGGCAAGTGGAAAGAGTGTGTGTCCTTTGCTCTGCGCTGCTCTCAGATGGCGGTCACAGCTGATAATTCTGCTTCGACCAGTTCTGTCAGCACTGTTGGAGGCTGTTAGCGCCATTGCTCCGAGCCGTGTGCTCAGCCAGCGCCATGTTGAGAAACACCGGAAATGTTTCCAATCTGGTCAATAACACTTTTTTTTTTTTAAATGTGGCTTCATGGCGTAAATGTTCTTTGTTCACTCTTCCACCCTTTGAAACCACACGAGGGGAAAGCGGAGGAGGATGTCTCCTTAAAGATCCCATCCTCCAAGCGTAAATGCCAAACACCACGTCGGTGAACAGTTGAGTCTGGCTGAAGCTCATCTGCCCTGGCAGATTACTGCACATTTGATTGAAGACAGACGACACCTCCTGCAATGTTGAAACTCTGTTTTGCTTTGTTTCAGGGACACGGAGATCGGCACGGATTGTCAGATGTTTAAATGTTCTCCTGCAGTGTTCAAGGGAGAGACAAAACATTGCAGAGGAATTATGCCAGAGTCTTCACATAGTGGGAGCTCCGTGTGTGTGTGTGTGTGTGTGTGTGTGTGTGTGTGTGTGTGTGTGTGCGTGTGTGTGTGCGTGTGAGAGCCAGAGAACTTTTGGGGGCTTTGACAAAAGAAGGCGCTCCCGCTTCTCTCCCCTCCCACAGTCACCGGGTCTATCATGGCTGTCACCCAGCATCAGGGAGCCCAATGGCTGAAGGCTTTCTGTGTACAGCGTCCTGGACCGATCGGTGTGAATCCAAGAATGAGCGCGCCCCCTCGAAGGAAGCTCTCGTGTCGCAGAGCCGTTGACAAAATAGAAAAGAGAGACGTGAGCTTTTTCTCCGCAAGAAGCCATGAGAATCAGCCCGCCGAGGCTAATCTGTCGAGCGGAAGTCGGACGAGTGTAAAGTGAGCCAAATCTCACCTTTAGTGCTGCTGCCCGTCTTTCTCCTCCTCCCGTGCAAAGCTGTGTTTCTAATATCTGATCTCGGTGAAATATGAGTTTATAAACACAAAGCTGGGTTTATTATGTTGCTTTCATAAGGATTGCCCACCTGCCCTTGTCAAAATGAGCTGACCCAAATTCCTCTGGTGAGCACGCAGCGCTGTAGTTCCTCAGGTTTCTTCTGCTGAGTGAGCGGTATGAAGGAGCTGATAGCGTGGTGTTGGAAACAGCTTGAAGGCATCGAGGGTCTAATTCTGCACGGACTTGAGCATGTTGCTGGAGGCCTTGGCAACAACTAATCTCCTCTATCACCCCTCGGTGCTTACAACAGTAACATCAGGCAACACGGACGCCATTACGGGACTGAAAGCAAAAAGGCTTCGTCTTCCCTGGTTGGCAAAAACTTTGGGGAATTTTCAGTGAGACGCAACAGTTGCTACATACTTAAAATATGTCACTTCCTCCCACGTACTTGTTGGCCGAGACTGATGACTGAGGAGGTGGAATGTGTGTTTAATTAACACGTTGTTGAAGCAAGAAAAAGCAATGTTGGTGTTGGAGGAGACAAGCAGACAGATAGGAGCCGTGTGCCGTTTACTGAGAGAAATGTTCAATGCGGGTTTGAGCTCAGCTGCGCGTCTGACAGCCCGGAAAGCAGCCAGCGAAGGATGATGACAGGCAGAAGGCCTCTCGATGATATCAGCCTCTGCCTTTGCATACCACAAGATATCGGACGTGCTTGCGTGACTTTAAAGTTGTTCCGTTCAAGATAGTGAGGACTTAAAGGAGCAGGAGGCCGGGAGCTCCGTGGCAGGCCAGTGGTTTGGGTGCTCATCGCGCTGGCTCACAGGGGAAGGCGGTAAACACCAACGACCTCAGCCGAAAGTGGAGGAATAAACCGGATGGTTTAGAACCCAGAGGAGAAACAATTGTTGACTGTCTGCTTTTACAAAAAAAAAAAAAAAGAAGTTCCCTTGTTTAATTATTGACATGCTTGGTTTCTTGTTTCCCCCACAGTGAAAGGATTAAAGAAAAAGCCCAAGTTGAAGACAGAGGGGACCACGAGGACTCACACGCGCATGCAAACACACATAAACATCACATCCTGGCAGCGGCCTAATCTACTTTATGGCTGCTGTTTCACCTGGAGGCTACAGCTCCGGGCATGAAAGTGAGTCGCGCTCAGCAAGCGTTTGGGACAACAGGCCGGGCTCAAAGAAAAACAATCCTACCCCTCCCCCTCAAAGTTCAGCGGCCTCCCCCCCTCCCTGAGTACCAATAAAGTCCCCTATCCCAGGCCTGCCTGGCTCATATTTACCACGCTATCCTCTAATTAAAGATGCAGCTCGCGCCGTGTCTGTCGAACGTGACGGTTCCTCTGCCTGCAGCGCTCTGTGTGATTTACTGCCAGAGCCTCCTGCTGTCTGTCATCGATTTGGCCTTCGTTTTCCCGCCTTCGTTTCCCCCCCACCCCTCCAAGCTCTCCGCTCACACAGGGGGGAACGTCTGACAGGTGGAGGGGTGGCAGAGCTAACCTGCTTCTTCTTTTTTAGAAAATAACAAACACCGGCGTGATCAAGCAACTGGAATAACAAGAAGAGGGCAGACGCCCTTTTCTTGGAGATTAACTTTAGTGCTGGTGGAGATTAAGTGTGTGTTGTATAATAGTCATATAACCAGGCTGCAACAACATATCACCTTTACAACCGGTTCATACTTAATTATGTCTGTTGATTAATCGATTGACTTCAAAACACCCGTCGCAATTCCTTCGGGTCCAATGTGATGTTTTCAAATGGCAGACATTTCAAAAGCCAAAATGTTATTCTTAAAAATGTTCAAGGACAGCGAATCTCAATCATTGACTTAAAGGATTACTTTACTTCTTTCACAATGTCTTCAGCTGACTTAAGTTACATCGCTTGAAGCATTTTCTCAGATGTAACTAACTCTCTCTGGAGCCCCGACCGCCCCTTCCTGTTTAATCTTAGAATATTATCTGGACACAAATGGTGTTGTGATAGATTTACTGAGAAACTTAAACAAGTAGCTTCTGTGTAACAGCGCAGGTGTCATTTTGATGGCTCCTCAGACGTCATGTTCGGACACGCATCCTTCTTTTAATCCAGACTCGTACCACGCCAGAGAGCGTGCAATAAAAGGGACTCATACAATAACTAAAGTACACAAACCCTACGAAAAATGTTGCACAACTTTGAGTCAGGAAGACGGCCGAGAGTTAGTTTTATCACAGAGCAAGAATCTATTGTTGAATAAAAAAAAACTTTCCAAGGCCCTTTGGTTTGTGGGGTTCTTTGGTGGCATGAGGCCCGTGTTGGGACGTGTGCTCGGCATGTCGGGTCCTACAGAGACGTCCATCACCAACCAGCCGTAACCGTAAGTGCAAAGAAACCAGAGAGGAAAAGAAACAGTTACAAACTGCTCTGGTTTTCCTCGTCAGACAGGTTTTCTTTCCCATGCCAAACACCGAACACACGGACAACATGTTGTTTCAAAAGAGAATCCAGGATCCACGACCAGCGATGAGTAATTTATGTTTACAGATGCTCACGGTGTCTAACGGACCCCGTGGCTCTACCGGTCTCTGCAGCTCTCGTTGCCCTGAGCTGAGCTGTGAAGCTCAGGAGTTGTTGGCAGCAAACCCTGTGTCATAAAGTTATCAATCAATTATTAAAGTGCAGAAAATAGCATCATTTTGCCAACTTGATTCTAAATTATTCTTCGGCCGTAGAGCGTCTTTGACGCGCAATTTGGTTTTATACATTTAATCTCAGAGCTGCTGTTGATTTAATAAGAAATTACCATTTCAGCTCTTACATTTCAACATACTGGAGGGGTGATAAAACCCAACAATACAGCAAAAAATAGCAATAACACTGCAGCTAAATATAATTTGACTTTATTCTGGCAACAGTACATGACTGATTTTTTTTCAGATCCCTAATTTAACAGGAACAGGAACGAGGTAATCATAATAAATTCAATCCACGTGCCAATAATTAACTGGCTTCTGCAAAAGTAATTTGTTAACAGATGCTGTCACCTTTCTTTCTTGCCATCTCCCACCTTTAACACGACTCCACTAACTTCAGGACAGACATGACAGGGGGGAAAGGATCTTGGTGCTGACTTCAAACTTCAAATAGCCACAATCAATTCAGTAATAATGCGGATTGGTCTACTCAAAATGAAGAAGTGCATCATTTTGTGTGACCCAATTTAAAGGCGAATACTCAGGGCTGTTGTTGTACCTCGCAAACAAAATACTAGATTTTGCTTACTTCAAGTGCTGTCGGACGTTTAGCAGTTATTATCAGATTACTCTTCCGGACGCATCTCAATAAAGATGTATAAAGATAAATAAGCAAGTGTAATACAACAAATGTAACAAGGCACACGGACCTATTTTTTCATTCATATCTTTTTTGTACCAAACTATGATATGCTACAATCAATGTAGATGACGTTTGTATCTCAAATAGACGATAAACAGTTGACGCAGTTGGTATGTAAATAATTTCATAACCCTGATTCCCACAACATTGAAATATGAAACTGCAACAACTCTTTACCTATAGTTGGTCGATTTTAGTTCAATAATCTGACATGTTTTGTGCAATTATGACGTATGTCACAAATGTATCTCTCATAAATTAATTCGTTAGAAAATAATACAATAACACAAATAAATATATCAGTATAACAGTAACCTCCTATTATTTACCACGCTAAATCCACCTCAACAGCATAACTTTTTAAACTGCGAGTCGCTGATTTCGCAGCTTCCGTCTTGCACGTGAAGGCAGCATTAGTAAAACGCTGGCTCCGGACGGGGCGTGACGTAGAGCGCAGTCAGGGCTGCAGTCGTAGTGGACTTCACTCCGCGCTTCACGTTCACCGTCAGCGCGCAGCAGAACCGGATCCGAACAAGCTCCGTTACACACCTCCCTACGGAAAGTCTAACCAGACACCCCAGATTTACCAGCGCCGAACGGACCGGACCGGACTGGACCGGGTGGTTGGGTGTGGGTGAGGGGACACACATGGAAACGCCATGTAGCTGGAAATACGGCGGTGGACTTCTTCACGGTTTCCCTGACGAAGGAGCGAAGTGAGCCGCGAGAGAAACATGCTCGCCCCGATGCCGGCCTCCCTGCTGCCGCCTCTCCTCCTCCTGCTCTGCCGGAGTGCTTTCTGCCAATACTCGAGCGACCAGTGCAGCTGGAAGGGCAGGTGAGGATTTCACGGGGAATGTTTCCGCGGCGGGTTTCTAACGAAAGCCCCGAAAGCGGCTTGACGTCCTTTTAGCTGCCGGCAGTTTAAAAAAAAAAGAAAAGAAAAAAAACAACTTTGACCGAAACTCGGAGCGCGAGGATGTGGAATCCAGCGGACACACGAACTACTACATAATAACACGTTTTAGACATATTATATACTGCGTGTTCAAGAGGGAGATGCTGCTAAGGTGTAAACGTTATGTAGTTGTTTTACACTTTGCGTTCACACTTTAGTTTCGGTCAAGGTGCCGCTGTTTTTATGAATGACGATGACAACGTTATTTAATCTGAATCATCTCTATGTGTGTGTGTGTGTGTGTGTGTGTGTGTGTGTGTGTGTGTGTGTGCGCGCGGGGGGGCTTAAATGGTGCTGAATTATCATATTTCTCTAATGTCGTAGAAAAAAGTTAATTTTTTTATCTAAGGGTGATACTGAACTAGTCTCTGGATTACATGCACAGATTTCCCATCAGTTTTTTAGTATTACATTTTTTTTTTTAAACCAATTTCCCAAACCTCAGGCAGCAAATACTGGAAAACTTAACCTCCCATCAAACATCTGCTGAAATCTGTTATGCACTTTTGAGGCTGTGGTTTAGTTCTTGGTCCTGCAGTCAGGGGTGCAGGAGATCTGCAGCACTTTTCACTCCTCACTCTTCATCTGTTGTTCATTAGTGAGACTCTCGACTAATCTCCCCCCTTTTTTTTGTTTTTTAATGCACGCAGGAGTGATGAAGTTAGAAAGCACTTAATTAGAGGCGTGCTGAGGAGGGCCTGGTTTCGGGCCCTTCAGCTGCATGTGCTCCGCATGTGCCGTGGCTTACTTTTAGATCTACGGCAAATTAAGAATTTCAGCATCTAATTTTCAGCCAACTGGGCGTTTCTCCTCCCCGGAGCCAAACCGCTACAGCTTGGCATGCGCCTGCCGCTGGACTGCCGATGGTTTCCTGCCTCCTGGCTCCGCCGCAGGGCGAATGAATGACTGACTGGCTGGAGTTTTCAATCCCTGACCGGGCATTAAGTCCTGAAGGGAGTCATTTGGTCGTGCTGGCGCCAGGGTCCGGAGTGCCGCCCGGACGAGTCTCTTCCAGTCTCTTTGGTGGCTTGAAAGGGAGGGGAGGGCTCGGTGCGTGACCTGCATTTGCACTTTGCATGCGGCAGGCCCGGCTACTGTTGCTGCCGCTGTCTGCCCAGAAGCCCCCGTGTCCCTCCATTCATCCGTCTCTGCTTCCAAGCTCTCCCCAAAGGCAGCCTGCCAGTGGCGCGTTTTGCCAAAGCTCCGGGACGAACAATGTGGTGGGGGGGGGCTGGAGCTGAGGTCACCGTGGCTGCTCCGGCTCGTGACTGGTCACGCAGCCAGTCTTGCGCACAGATGGCCGTAATGCTTCAGGAGGAATGTGGTCTAATGTCCCCGCTGGTCTTCACCTTGGTCAGATAACTCGGGCCGAATCCAAACCGGGTTTTTCTGAATAATCCCCTTTTACGCCGAATTCAAGAAGTTCCTTTTAATAGGCTCCATTTGTTTTCATGTGCTGACATGTTCTCCCCCCCTCCTTTTTTTTTCTCCTTCCCTTCTCCCAGTGGTCTGACCCACGAAGGCCACGCCAGAGATGTGGAGCAGGTGTACTTGCGCTGCTCCCAAGGCTCCCTGGAGTGGCTCTACCCCACGGGGGCCATCATCGTCAACCTCCGACCCAACACGCTGTCCGCCGCCGCCGCCCGCCTCTCCGTCTGCATCAAACCCCTGGCGGAATCCAGCGGCACCAACATCTACCTGGACCGTAACGGCAAGCTGCGGCTCCTGCTGCGCGACCAGGACCAGGCGCGGGGCAAGGTGCAGTGCTTCGGCATCCAGGAGGGGGCTCTCTTCATCGAGGCCATCGCGCACACGGACATCAGCCGGCGGACCACGGCGTTCCAGTACGAGCTGGTCAGCGACAGGCTGGGTCCACAGGCACGCCGCGCGGGGGGAGGTGAGAGAGAGAGAGAGACGCGTCCATCATTAGAATTTCACAGCGCGTTATTAGTGGCGAGGCCGTAGATGGCCGCGCTTCATCGCGCCAGTGTGGAGGGCTGCAGATTTTCTTTTGATGAATCCCCTCGTGGTCTGGCTCTCCCCTGTGCTTTGTCTCTGCGGTGTGCGCCGTGCACTAAATGCAGCCATCTACTGGTGGAAACTACTTCTATCCAGTTGGACCCCAACAGTAGGAAACTGCTCATGCTGCAGCCAACGTCCATTCCTCTGCTAGCATTGCCTGTACATTTTGGTTTTGAGGGGGTGGGGGAGGATCTTTCTTGTCAAAAGCAGACTTATGGTGTGGTTAATAAGACATCGAAGTCTGTTACGGAACTTTTTTTTTTTTTTAGGGATTAAATGTTCACTTGTTTCCTCAACCCTGTGCGTGCGTGCATGCATGTGTGTCCAAATAGGGGGCCTCCGTTGGAAAAATAACCGTCTCTTTTCACGCCGAGTACCTGCTAAACCTGCACGGATTCAAGCTGTGCAGCGGTGTGTTTATTTTTTTCCACCTAACTCAAAAATATGAGCGCTATCGGGGCCGACATCTGTTTTTCAGGGCTCCGTGGGTTCACATCCTGCGTCATTATCGGGCACCGCAGCGAGAGGAAGAGCGCGGGAGGGTTAAATGCACAGAGCGTGGAGTTGTTTTGGCCGCATTGAGCCGCTCTGCTCTGCAGGATAATCTGGTTGTGTGATGTGGCCTGAGATGCATCACTGGGATGATTCACAAAGACAGCGGTCTCGTGTCATCTGAAGCCCGGACTGTTGGATTGATTGCTGCTTTGCCGTTTATCATCTTTCTTTTTCTTTTTTCTTTTTTTTTTTTTTCCATCTCTTCCATCTTTCCTCGTCTTTGTGACCCGCTGTGCTGGGATTGAGTTGCTCACCGTCAAGCTGGAATGTGTCTCCGACCAGATGTTGAGTGGTCCTTCTACAAGCATGAGCTTATGCACCCCATCCCCAACACCCATCTGTTCTCGCTGTCACTCCCTCCACAGTCCTTTCAGCTCACTTAAATCCATCGTCTTCTTCCTCTCCGTTTCCAGCCTCATTAATTCCGTTCTTGTCTATTTTTCATTCCAGTACTTTTCTTTTCATTCCGCTCCCTTCCGGGCTGTTTCTGAAGTGGTTTTAGTCCGTGCAGAGTGATTAGCCAGTTGAGCTGCATCATGGCCCAGATGTTGCAGGGACACTAGATGGTGCCCCCCCCCCCCCCCCTATTTACCACTCGTCCCATCCTTCATCCCTCTGTGCTCCTGTGAAGTGGTGCCGCATGTGCACGGGCCAGAGAGAGAGAGATGCTGACTCCGCTCTCGGCCCATTCCTGTGGTTCTGTTTCATGTCTGACATGTGAGCTCCGCTTTCGGAGGGAAGGAAAAAAAACACGCCTGGCTTTAGACCTCGGCTTTGGGCCGCGTCGCCTAATGCCAGAGCAGCACGCGGGCTCGCTTGAAAGGGGCTCGGCACTCCGCTCGGGGGGGGGCGAGGCGAGGTCGGCCGCTCTGAAGTCCTACCGGCTCTCCAGCTGTTCCTGAGTCGTCCGAGTTTGTGGCGGTTTGACCCCTGGTCCCTGGATGCAGCGTCGCCTCGTGTTGCTTCCCGGGCTGAACCCAGACGTGCTCGACCCTCATCCCCCGAAACCCGGCTTTAGCCAAGCTGGCTAAAAATGGGGGGGGGGGCCTTAATTCAGTCTCGGGTGGTCTCGGGTGGTCTCCGTAACACCGAATCCACCCCAGTTAGCAGTTGGTGATGATCTTTCTCCAACTCCAATTGAAAAAATGGCCCAGCGGCTGCCGCCCCACCCTCGGGTCGTTGCTGAGTCGACACCCCCTCCCTTGGTGCCCGCTCCTCCTCCACCTCCCCCTACGTGCCAATCCGCCGCAGAGGAAAACCACAGCAGGCCCACGGCTAATGAAGGCGTTCTGGTGAGGCCGGCCGCGGGACCACCTGAGTCAACTAATCATGGAGTTGACTGCCCTCGTTTAGGGCCCTCTCCCCTGCTATAAAACCTGGTGGAGGCAGGCGCTCTGTGTGTCCCTAGTAAAAGTTCACATGCAGCCCGGGGCCGGCTTTTAAACTAATGCCTCGGTTCGCTTTTTGGGACCCCAATTATTTCCCCTTAAGTCATTAAGAGCGTGTCCTCTCTCGGCCTTTTTCGTTATTCCAAGCGAGACACGTCAACGCGGGAGGTTTGGCCCTTGCTATCTGCCCCCACGCCCCCACCAAGTGATTTCCCTATTTAAGGTAGTTCAGAACTCTACTTGGATGCCCGCTGAAGTCCTAACGCCGCTCGGGTCAGAGACGAAGCTCTCCCCGCCCTTCCCTCCGGTCCCCGTTTGTCACGGCGCTTCATGGGCTCTTCTAGCGGGGGGAGGCCGACCACAGTATTAAACACGCACACACACACACCGCCTTTTTGTTGTTGATGTGGAACTAGTACGTGGCTGGTCCACAAGTGTTACTCAACTGGAACTAAACAAACATTTCCATTCAGCCGACCCAGGAGTGCCAAAGACATGGTGAACGTTTCCTATTCCTGATTGTGGCGCTCCACCAAAACTCATCCGCCCCCCCCCCTTCTCTGTTTCCATCCAGCACCCTGTCAGCCCTGCAGCGACGCCGAGGTGCTCCTAGCCGTCTGCACCAACGACTTCGGTAAGTCAAAACGCCCTTGCAGTAGTAAGATGTATGGTGCACGTAACATGGTGGCCAGCACCTGAATCTGTCTCCCTTCTGTGTGTTTTCAGTGGCGCGGGGCAGCATCGAGAAGGTGGAGGAGGAGGAGGAGCGCTCGTCCGTGACCGTGGAGCTCCGGCGCCTCTACAGGCAGAAGACCCAGGTGTTTGCGCCCGGGGGCGTGAGGGTACGGCGGTGGACCGGCCACATCAAGATGTCCCCGCAGTGCGCGGTGAGGTCCGGGGAGGGCGAGTTCCTCTTCACCGGGACAGTGCGGTTCGGGGAGGCCTGGATGGGCTGCGCCCCGCGCTACAAGGACTTCCTGCGGTTGTACGGCGAGGCGCAGCGGCAGGGGACCAACCCCTGTCACATGGACACGGACTGAGCGCGTAAGCCGTCCTCCCGTTTTGAAAGAGTGACAAGTCGTCGCTCGGCGGGGAGGAGAACCGAAGCCGGAGTTCACGCTGAGGAGGCTGACGGACCGTCACGGTGGCGGATTGTCTCTGTGTTTCTGTCCCTCCTCTCGATCCGTCTCGTGACTCTTTTGGAGACAAAGGGCTCCTGAATGTTGCCAAGCAGCATGCTGGACAGCTTCGGCTCTCGAAGTCAAACGTGATGCAACGTGGAATGTGCTCGGACTGCTTTCCTCGCCGACGAGTAATTCCCAGAATTTAAATGTAGCAAAACCCCCATTTGGATGGTATTTGTATAAAATGTGAATGAACATTGTATATTTTGAAGCTCTGTGTGCTTTGTAAAAAAAACAAAAAACGGCTTGTTGTACAGTTTTGAAGTTACTACTTATAAAAGAAGTGTATAAAGTGAAAGCCTGTTTTTATTTTGTTTAAAAAAATAATTTGCAATTTAATGCCTGAATTCATGTTTGTTTTTTCAGGCTGTACAATTGTGGAAAAACAAACCAAAAAAAACTACTAGAACTAGAATAAAAGCTTTGTTCCCTGGATGAGCGTTTGACTTTGGCGTCTAAAATAAATAATTGACAAAATCCACAGAAAAGGAATTGGCTTCTGTTTAGTTTATGGATTTAATCCATTTTAAAAGAAATATTTTCAAACAAAATAAAAGCTATATATATATATAATTTGCTGTCCTCTCTGGGCTGTGGATAACTAAAGGCCGCTTCTTCTGTTTCTGTCCAAACCACCAATATTCTAAATTATCACATTACCCACACTGAAATGGCTCTAGCCCTGACACTTATTTCTGAGACTGTAAACTAAAACTTCATCTGACATTTACCCCTCCCTCCCCCCTTCTTATATTCTCCGTTGGAATAAAGCACTGGTCCGATGTGCGTTGGCCTTCTCTGCCTGATTCACCTCAGCCTCGAGCTGGTGGCGTCCAGAGATTGATATCAGAGAGTTTGAGTGGATTCCTCTGCGTTGGTTCCTGTGGTGATGGGGGGGCGTGTGTGTCAAGGTCAATGTGAAAGGCCTCTTTGTTCCGGCGCAGCAGCCTGGTATGAGAGAGAGGACTGAAGGCCGACCTGAATACAGACCTGTGACTGGGCACACAGCAGAAAGCCGCTCTCTCCAACCGCACTCTGTCAGTTTTGATTGGCATGTGCAGCGCCGCTCAGCCTCCCCGTTTCAAATGAAGGCCTTTCTTTTTCATCACCTCGAATCAAACATGAGGAACAAATCTCCCAGCCTGTGATGGTTACTGGAGCTCTTGTTTGTGTTGCAACCCCAGAGGCGACCTGCAGGCCAGCGGGTCTGTTGAGAAGACATCCAGTTCAAGCCGAGGCCCTTTCTGTCTGCCTTTTCTCTTAAAACGGAAATGCACCTAGAATGTCTTTCAAGGAGTTGCCCCGCATAGACAATTGGTTTTCCAGACAGCTCTATGCATTCAATTGAATGTCTGAATTCCAGCTGAAAGCCAGCGGCCCCTAAAATCACTGGGAAATGCAAACAGAGTTTCTATGGCAACGGTGCCTTACTGTGAACCTTCTTGCTCTGGCTTAAAGACCAGGAGCCGAGGAGGAGGAGGAAGGAGGAGGAAGGAGAGGAGGGTCGTGGGTATAACTTGGGTTGTGTGTTCTTTGCTGGTCCTCTCCGGGTTGTCAGGCCTCTCTCTCTCTCGTTCCTCTATGTTGGCTACAGATATACAAGGTCCTCAGGTGTTATTAGTACAGCAGAATCAATATCTGCTTCAGTGTCCATCTTCATTGACAGTACAGTATTTAATCCCATAATCAAATATATTCTGATAAGCAAATGCTAAAATAATGGTTAATTTACTAGTAATACATTCTAGAATAGTAATCCTCAGTCAAAATGGACAGACATTGGCTCAATGCTTCTGCATGACGTGTGATGATACGTCCCTAGAGAACTGTGATCACTGTTCTTTTGTTCTAAAGGGTTTGCTTATGGTGTCACTGGGTGTAGCTCATTTAATAATAATCTGACTAACATTTTATCAATGCACACGCAATTTGCAGCAGCGTCATGGGCGAGGTCGGACTTCTTTGTAATGATAGTTACGAAGGACCAGTTTGAACCGGGCATGAGTACGAGGAGGGTGATTCAGCGAGAAGTCGTTATTTCGTGGGTGCGATTAAAAAAAATGTTTAGAAAAAGAGGAAGGAATAAAAAACATTCTGTTGAAAATTGCACAGTGATTTAGTGGAATGAAGGACCGCTCAGATGCAACAGCCGTGGGGTCCCCGGCAGCGAGGAGAGGCCTGCGGGCTCAGTGTAGTGGCGAATATCTGATGCCTCTTGGGGAAGTGCTGGAATGCGGGGAATGTGTTGACTTCACACACGCGTGCACAGCTTCCCTCGGTGCCGCTGCCTTGATTAGCTGCAATCAATAGAGCCTCTGTGAGTTTTTTTTTTTGTGTGTGTCTGTGTGTGTCGGTGTGTGTGTGGCTGCACAGTGCGCGTGGCCCTAACCTCAGCGCACATAAACACAGCGCCCGGCGGCGAGATAGCCGCCACCCACACTGAGCCACAGCCGACTCTGCAGCTGCAGTCCTAACACCTCCGATCTGACGCTGTGCTGCCCTCACACTTCCCCCTCGCGTTGCAGGATGAAAATCAGACTTTTGTGTGCAATGTTCCTCCTTTTCTTGTTTTAACAAATCTCTTCGATTCAAGATCGCAGGGTTACCTCGGCTGTGTGTCTCAGCCTTCTCTTTTGCTTGTCAGATGTTAGAGAGACTGAAAATGTAGGCTTATTTCTGACAAATGCAGGCCCTCTTTTAGGGGGTCATACTCCCAGAGTTTCGCGTTCCCAGAGGCCTCTTCTTCCGACCACCAAGGACGGACCTCGCAGTTCAAATTGCCAACAAGGGAAGGGAGACGAATGTTTCATTTGCAATTTGAATGGTAAAAATCCAATTCCACAGGCCACAGTGGACACATCGATGCCTAGAGAAAGGTTTGAAGAAATGAAACATCTGTAAGCTATAACGTGCAGGTCTGTGATTTCAACAGTGACCTAGAGAAACATCCATTCTTATATTGAACATAAAACCTTATGAAGGTCTTGCTAATGTTCCCTATTACGTCCTTATGTCCTCCTTACAACCACGCTGCTAAAAATCAATTTTTCCACTTTTGACCACAATAAATACAAAAAGTACATTTCCATGTGTATAATTTCCAATTCAAGCCAGATAGGAGTGAACGCATGAAAGCGAGGGCCAGACAAGCCAATAAGGCCTCTCGCAGAATGCTCATTAATCCCCGGTGGGTCATGAGTTTCTCAAAGCCTCGCCAGCGCCTCCTCTGCCTGCCTCTCCCGGCCAAGGGATACGGCTGGATTAAGGACTCTGGTGTTGGGTGTCTCTAGCAAAAAGTGATCGCGGGGTCACGGCATGGGCCCGTGTCTAGATATCAGGTATCAAAGGGGATCTGGGAATCGTGTGCCCCGACTGAGTAAATGGGGAGCGTGCATGAAGTGGACCGGGGCGCGGCCTCCATTGGATGGTTTGGAGATCAGGAAGGCTTCATTCTGGCGGAGACTCACGAGATTACCAACATACAGTAGCAATAGTCTCCTGATGAGGCGACTGCCCATGCGTGTGGTAGAAAGCTCCACACCGCAACGCTTTATAATGTAAATGACTTGCCTGCCTGATGTCTGTATTATGACTAATTATTTCTGTTTGTGAATGGGGATTTGTTTGCCACAGTCTGCTCCTACAAGACTGTCTCCTTCTCCCTTTTGTCCCCTCATCGTCCCCTCTTCTAAAGGGGTGAATGTGCGCGGCCGCTGTCGGCTCACACGGCTCCCAGGGCCCGCATCGGGGTGCCCTGTTCGCTCAGCAAACACCCCAATGTCCTCCAGAGTGGGAGTTCCTGCTGCACAGAGCTATTGGGGGAGCCCCCCCCCCCCCCGGTGCACGGCCGCCTAATAACGGAGCTGAATTTGGCTCTTGGGACATCAAGCAAACACACTGCAAAGGGCACTTTTATTTACTTGCCTTCCCGTGCCCGCCCCCAACAGCGTGCATTTACTAGGATCTGCAGCGCCATTTTCAGGAGCCCTTGGCAACAGTCAATAGGGCGGACGACTTTCTCATGATGTCACCCTGTCATGGTTGTTAGCGGTCTGGTGCGACGAGATGTGATGGAATAGATCTTTCTTTTTACAAACTCAACTTTTGGTGGACTGTGAAGTCATGTCATTTTTGAAGAATCAAGTTTGGCGTGTGGTATTCTCACGGTTAAGTTGGCCCCCTTGTTGTCATGGAAAAGCCGCCACTCAAACGGCTGGTCTGACTTTTGGTGGGCAAATTCCCCCCCCCCCCCCCCCCAGAAAATAGGATTTTTTTCTATAACTTCCTCTAACAGACAATTTGTAATCCAATGGCCGGCTCTTCCCCCTCCACCTCGCGGTGCCGCTCGCAGCGCTTACTGCAAACTTTTGCTTTCCATTGTGGCCAGACAACACTTTCTATGAACGTATTCTCTAGCATTAACAGCTCTAAATGATACAATAAATAGTGCGGGGACAAAAATTCCCCGCTCACAATAACAAAAGCTTGTCCTGTCACTGGAGCTCTCTTGACTTAATCTTGGCTCTGAATGAGCGCGTTGTTGCAAACTCTATTCACCCTTTCCCTCATTAACCCCGGCTTCTTGCGGCTTCTTGTCTGGTTGTGATAATGCGACGTGCTCGGGGTCCTCGGCTCTCAGGCCCGTCACACTGAGAAGATCGGCTGTTTGCACGGCCCAGTGAGCACCAGTGGCTTTGCCCTGCCGCCAGACTCCTCCTTGGCAACCAGGCCGACCCCCTCTGACCTCTGGCCCGGCTGGTGGCCTTTGGGTGGCAAAATCAAAAAAATGCCTCCTGTCTAAATTTAGCCATTAGAATGAGGCGGAGACGGGTTCGTGCCCTCTAGCCTCTAAAGGAAATATAGATCTTTGGGCATTGGAGGGGGGATGGGGGGTCATCAGAAAATGGCGGGACAAGTGCAGAGCGTGATGGATTGTGTAATGGAACATGTGGCGTTTGATGGATGTCTAAATGAGGAGCATAATAGCTGTGTGATGGATAGGTAGGAAGCCGACACTTAGATTTTCACACAGAAACGGATGTGAGCTGTTTGGTTTGGGACAGAGGACGACAGACGGAATAAATGCCTCATTGTGCTGTTTAGTGTTTGGATGGTTTCACACATGAACACAAAAATAAGGCCAGGAGCCAGCAGCATCATGGTCCAGATCCATTTTTAAAAAAATATATATATTATTTTATTACTTTTAATGAGGCAGATAGATCTAGCACATAGCAACATAGATTTTTAATATTTCTTCCAAAACTCTGAAATTATTAAAACCACATATCGTATGGTCAGAGATTAGTGTTCTCAATGTAAACTGATTTTTGTTAATTTTTCAGATGACTGCCGAGGATAAAACCAAAAAAGCTGTTAAATGTTTAGTGTGCTTCGTTTACATTATAAGCACATGTTAAGGGACGGCTAATTCAGGATAACATCAGAGGAATTTAGGGCCTGTTGGACACCGACTCACATAGACATGGATCCCCGGCACTTCAAACCCTGATTAACAGAATATGAACTCTTGGTAAAATTATTATAAAACATTTTCTCTCTGTGTGTACAAACCCTTAAAATAAGGCATATGTAGAATTACTGGGTTCTGTGTCACCCAGGAGTTGCATTAAAATCATTACTGTGTAAACCAGCGTGCTGAGTTTAGAGTTACGCCAACAGTTATTAAGTGGACAAGTGTTGGCAACAGCTGAACGGTCAGCTGGGAAAAGAATGCCTGAGCATAGAGAAAGTGGAGCTGGAGGGGGGCCGAACACACACACACACACACACACACACATGCAGACACGTGTACACAAACACAGAGACACACACGTGTACACAAGCACACACCCTTTTTCCCGTAGTGGCTTGGCACAGGTGACAGTCAGCGACCCTGGATCAGGGTTCACTCACTGAGGACCTGTCGGCACTGCAAAAGGTCAAAGGTCAACCTCATTGATTAGCATTGAGCATGTGCTTAAAAAGAAAAGCAGACTTCAAAGGACAATTTTGCTGCTGAACTTTTTGAGACGGAACACTTCAGTATGGCAGGATTAAAGAGAATAAAAAGCAGTTATTTTCTTTATTTCCTTCATCTCCTATAAATCGCAGCATGTTTCGGTTCCTTTACTCCACTTGCAGAGAAGGATTCTTGCAGAATCGACTCAAGTTTGCCCGGTTGCAGTCTGAAGAGACAAGGGTTCACTGGTATGACAGAGTGTGTAGATTCTGGGAGGATTATCGTCGCTCTGCTCTGGAATGCATCACATGTCTGAGTAAAGAAATCCGAGGGATCGAGAGCAGCCACGAGGGGACGGGATCCTCACAATATGCTGACAGTTTCATTCTGCATCTAGAAAATATAAGGCTGCTGTAAGAAATCTTAAATATCTTATACGTTTGACACATTTGACATCATGCTATTGGATATGTGCATAAAAAATAAGATCCTTTATCTCTAACTATTAGCTGGCCTTCTCATTGAAACAGCATATATGGGTAATCATTAAAGGGGGTCTATACCAATGTGGCACATATATATTTACTTGCAGACTACTTCTCAGCAGATGGAGACGGTTGTATCAAGCGTTCTGTGGCTCTGATGACCAAACCTAAATAAACAACCATGATTGTGTCACCAGAGTCATATATGCTTGGGCTTGGAAACAACACTTTTCTGCCATTAAGTGGGGATTTGAGTGTTTTTTGTAGTTCACGTTATAGCTGTTTGTTTTGCAAACCCTGACCCATTATTATTCATTGGGGAATATTACTTATTACTTGTTTTACTTCATCAATCTGAGTAATACGTATATATAATGTATTGTATACTATAAATATAAGTTGGTGATCAGAAACTGCACCGTAAAAGAAAAAGTGGACATAATCACTCTTTACTTATAATACTGTTTAGTGTGCCCTGTTTTTTTCCCCCTATGTTTCTTTTCTTCACACAGATCTCTTATAACGAGATAGATGGTGCCCCCTGCAGGAAGAGTCTCTTGCAGCTTCTGTTTATGATGAATCCTGAGACAATGATAATATTGAGTACACCCAACCACCTATCCCCATCATGTCCAATGGACTGAGTTATGCAGAGCATTTAACCCACAAACCATAATAACAGTGCAGTGGGAGCTCGGAAAGTGGGCTTTACGCGTAAAGAATCCCGGAGAGGACGTTCCTATTTCCAGTCAGTGGGGAAATGCAGATTTATGTTTTTAGTCATAACAAAAGCCTGGACCAGTCTGACACGGCTTAATTAAAAGGGCTATAGCCGCGATCATTGGCTCTGCAGACATGCTGTCCATCACACACCGCTGCATGGCTTCAATCTGTCCAACGCGAAGGTGGACGTGTTCAGCGGAACGAGACCGTGCCTGTGAGCTGCAGCACTGCTGCCCTGCTGGTGGAGAAAACGGACAAAAACAAGTCGCTGTCCTAACGACAACAGTGACCTCAGAGGGGAAGGAAACTTTACTCTTCTTTCTGCTGAGCACCATTCGGCCCTGTGTGTACTTAAAAACTCATCAGTGTATTCACAACGGGTCCAGTGTCAGAGGATATTTCACACAAACATTCAAAAGAAAACATGGTCCGACAGATCACGTTCAGTCCATGACGCCTTGGAAGGAATTTAGTAGTATAATAACAGTTGTTTTGCCTGTGAGGTTGTTTTCGATGGGCCTGTGAACACTGACGGCCCTTGACTCATTTTACCGATCACAAAAAAAAAGTTCTACCATATTTATAGTATTTGCTTTAAGTTTTTTTTCTCCTTCCCATTAATACAGTTCTTACAGCGGGAAAAAATAATTTTAAGCTTTTACTGTACAGGTCTTCTACTGCTGAAGATGCATTGTATGAACATCACGGTGAAAGTTCCTCCACCCCCTCCTGAGACAAGAGCTCTCTAAATGTCTGCAGGCTCAAGAACCTTTAGGCTGCTTACAGGAAACAGAAAGTTAACATGAGGTCTGATAGTAAGAAAATACTCGATATGCTCTAATGGCCTCCACACACTTTTCTTACCTTCTTTTCTTTTCTCATGTCATTAGAGCTGCGGAAGCATGTGTAACCTTGACGTGTCTCATGTAGTGTATGTATGTGATGCATTAATACTTTAGTATGGAACTTCATTTTCTTTGAAAAACAGTTTGCATGCGGAAATCATTATTTTGTATGATTTGTCCTTTGTTCAATCAGGTCCGCGTATTGCGGCTGGAACCCGCGGCTCTTGTTTTCAGGTCAGGTCCTGCACGGGCTTACCGTAATGCCTGATGCGCACGCGCTTACCGTAATGCCTGATACGCACGCGCACTGCAGAGTAACGTGCTGGTTGGCGCCGCTTGGTTTTTGTCCCGATCGCAGTCGGTTCCCCCTCAAATAAATCCCGTTGCCTCAGCATTGCCATGTTGAGAGCCAAGCCCCAACATATCCACAGTCTCGCATTGTGCACCTTTAATTTGTTTGAAGTACACACAAAAACCAATGATACGGAGTGTTATTGTTCCTGTTGGAACACAATGTAACACGTGGCCAATAGGTGACACCGCGCGATCCATCACGTGAAGCTCAATCAAGCCTTTTGTTGAGCACGTTATCGTAAATCAAATAAAGACTTAGTTTGACTTTAGTGAGATTAGGGGCTACAAAGCAGAAGGGAGCGGATACAACCAAACGCAGGATCGCACTACAATATAACAAATGTTTGCGTCCATTTGTAATCTGGTTCATTGTTGATGGATCGATAGGCCTGTAAAGGGGGGGTAATGGCAGCCCCCCCTCCTCCCGACTCTTTGTCCCCTTGCTTCTTTTGTTAATAGCATCTCCAACGTGGCAGAAGTGAACGATGACACGTTGTTGCATGAACTCACTGGTCCGCGTCCACAGCCGGTCGGTAATGTTTTACCTGCGCTTGTCAGCCCTCTCTTAGAATGTGCCGCATCGCCGTCCGAGGCGCGCGTCTCTCGGCGGGCAGAGGTGAGCGGAAGTTAACCATTACTACGCTCACACGGTGACGTAAGTGGAGATCTTACGGACAGGTAAAGAAGCGCGGACACGTCCTCGCACCCGCAGCCACGCACGGTATTTACGCCCAGCCGACACCGGCCCGATGTCGGCTCTGCTCGGCCGCTGTGCCCGCGCCGTGAGACGCGCGGGGGGACTCGGGCGCAGCAGCGAGGCGTGGAGGACGTGCGCCGCGACGTCGCCCCGGTGGTGTCGGTAAGTTCGTGCGCTCGGGATCGGGATCGGCGGCCCGATGGAAACACGCCGGTGCCGCTCAAAACTAAGTCGGCCCTTTTGTTGTCTTTTTAAAGATCACGGTGATTCCAAACTCTTCACTTTCAGTTTCAAGTGGAAAAAAGGGATCCACGTAAACAACGCAGTGATTCCTGATTTCCCAATCGACAATAAACAGGATTAAAAAAAAGTACACTTTTGCGCGGTGCATTCAATCTATATGTCTTTATTTGTGTACTTGTTTAGTTTTAGTCATTGTCAGTGCAGGGCAACCACAGCTCCTCACTTTTCTTGGCACCAGAGTCCAGTCCGATCGTCTTCTTACTGAGGGGGGGGGGGGTGGGTGGGGGGTGCTCGGCCTTGCTCCCTTGCTTCAGCGGCGGTGCTTCCTGCAAAGTAACTTTAGTGTAACAACAACAACAACAACAACAACTCACTAAATTCGTGTTAATTAAGTGAAGAGGGTCGTAATAAAATCCTTAAATCGGATTCACACCTCTGGAAGCCAAAATATCACATGCTGCTCCAATAAACCTAAAACTATAGACTTATAGTTTTTTTAGTTACTTGCACGTGATGCAACTGTTTAATCATTGACCGAGAGGTCAATAATATGCCTAGTAGTCCCACACATTGGATATGAACGGTTAATAATAAATAGAAATAATCAAATCTGAAGCTGTCTTCAAATAAAGTTGATCACTCATACATTAAATTATAAACATCGGATGCATGATTGATGTCACTGGGCCTCAGAAACATTCAGTCTATAAGAGCACTTCAATGGCCTCCACATTCACTCAGACCTCTATAAAGATTACACATGGTGAAGAAGAGTAACATCTTGTGTGAATTGTCTGCTTATGTTGACAGGTCAAACAACCCCCATGTTCCCACAACCCGGAAAATAGTTTCTTCTTGGCAATGCAGACAAGTTTTTAGATTCATGGAATTCTAAAAGTAATTTGTCAGGCAGCCGTCACGGTTCAATCGCCGTGATTGTTCGATGTCAGGTCATCTACTTGTTTCTTTCCTCAAAAGAGTTTTGAGCAGCCTGATGAATGAACTATTACCGATAACTAAAACAGCCATTGGCCAACATCATAGCATTCATTGAATTAACCTAAAAGTTGATCTTTTTAACGTAAATTCTTGGTGTTTTTAAATAAAATATGATTTCCTATCTAAAATTTGAAAGTATTTCCTGTGTTATTGATCTTTTTTTATTTCATACTGACTAGAAATGTACTTGTTTGCTTCAAGTATTGTATCTCAACCTTTGCGCTTCTCGTCTGCAGTACATTTAGACGTTAAAATTGAACACCATGTACTGTATATTTGACCCCTTTCTTTCCTAAATCTCTGCACGCCAGACGCCTCCATGTGGACAGTCCTCCGTGCACTTCCTCTCTGACCAGCAGCTATGTGCACGGCACCTCCTCCATCTCTCTGCTCCCCCTGACTGTGGGCCAGAGCCTGGACGCCTCGGCCCAACGCTGGCCTGACCGGGAGGCGGTGGTCTTCCGGCAAGACGGCGTCCGGAAAACCTTTGCACAGTTTCAGCAAGATGTGCGTCTCCTACTTTGTGCCTTCGCGGAGAGTTTTCAACAGCTAGACGATTTGTTGGAGCTAATAAGCCAGATCGACGTCTTTAACATACTCTGTCAACAAAGCTTCTTTAAATCCCAGGAAACATTTTCTATAAAGCACAAACGCATCCACCGAGCTAGATTTCTCGTGCGAAGCAGAAGAAGGCATATCGCTAAATATTTGGTGACATCCATTGCTGCAGGTTGACAGGGCGGCTGCAGGTCTGCTGGCTCTGGGCCTGCAGCGAGGCGACCGACTGGGTGTTTGGGGACCCAACACGTACGAGTGGATCCTCTTCCAGTTTGCAACAGCCAAAGCTGGAATTATACAGGTAAGTTTGTGAGTAGTGCATAATGTTAAAATGATATTCACTGTGTAGCCTTGTGGTTAGACGGAGAGCCCGCTGTACTTTAACCCCTCTTTGGAAAATGTGTGTTGTGGGTGTGCTTTCATGCTTGCAGGTGTCGTTGAACCCGGCCTATCAGGTGAAGGAAGTGGAGTTTACTCTAAAGCAGGTGGGGGCTTGTTCTATCAGGCATTCGCTTATTCACACAACCACCAGTGCTATTCTCAGAACCTGGGGCATGAGGTGCACAATGAATAAACTGAGATATCATTTAAAGTAGCCCACTAATCAAAGGTGTTTCTTGATCTCTTGGTGAAATTCACAAGTTATAGCGACATATAAAAGCTCCACTGTTACCAGCAAACAGCATTCAAGTAATATGCATTTTAAAGAACTACTGATATATTTCGCTAATATTAGATACTTTCATTTAAGAGCGCAATACAGCCTGTGGAGAATAAAATACAAAAGCACAAATCCGACAATTAACGGTTTTCCCAGAAGTAGTAACCCTTCCACGCGACAAACGTTAGTAGATTGAACTGAACGGTGGTCCTCTGCAGGTCCAGTGTAAAGCTGTGGTCTGCCCGACTCGCTTCAAAACCCAGCGTTTCTGTGACATGCTGCGGGAGCTCTGCCCGGACACGACGGCGGACGGCACCACCAAAAGCTCCAGGTGTGAGCCACGTCACACGCCAGCCACTTGTTCTTTCCTCTCTCGCCACGACGAGGCTGCAAACACCTCACAGTGGATAACGCAACGTTCCGTCTCGGGTCCCCTCAGGCTGCCCGACTTGCGTATGGTGATCGTGACGGACGGCAGGCAGCCGGGGACGCTGCATGTCGACGACGTGATGCAAGCGGGGGAGAGTCGGCACCACAGGCAGCTGATGGATCTGCAGAGCAGGCTGTCCTGCGACGATCCCATCAACATCCAGTTCACATCGGTAACCTTCCACGTTGCACCGCTGGCACATTTACTGTGTAACTTTCACTGACATATTGAGGGAACCAGGACTCTGTTTGTGTTTATTTGTTTCAGGGGACTACGGGGAGTCCAAAGGGAGCCTGTCTTTCCCACCACAATATCGTAAACAACGCCTACTTCATGGGTCTCAGAATGCGTTACGGATCTCGAGTAAGTCCGTATTTTTCCCTCTGGAATCGCACCCATCACAGACCGGGTCTTTCTTTTTGTTGAGTCATCTCGTTTTCCGTGTTCTCCTCAGCCTCGGGTGCGAGTGTGTGTGCCCGTGCCTTTGTACCACTGCTTTGGATCCGTGTTGGCGGGGATGAATATGGCCGTGCACGGCATCACTCTGGTCTTCCCTTCCACTGCCTACAACAGCCAAGCCAACCTAGAAGCCATCGAGAGCGAAAAGTAGGGCGCCGCGCACGTCACGCTTTCAAATGCACACGTTATGCACTTTTATTGACCGCCGTGCTTTCCCTCAAGGTGTAACGTCGTTTACGGCACTCCCACCATGTTCACCGACATGCTCATACAGCAGGATTTACACCGGCATGACATGTCATCGATCGAAGCCGGTAATGGAAGACTTGAGTGAACGCAGACACGAGGAATATGTTGTGTTGAACTTGGCGCGATGCTTATCGAGCTTATGTGCTGCTTCATTCCAGGCGTAATGTCAGGTTCTCCGTGCCCACCGGAGATCGTGCGTAAACTGCAAACACACATGAACATGGCCGAGATAACGGTGAGCGGTTACACTTATTACTTCGTATAGCTCCTCCAACGTGTATGCGAATGAGCGTATGCCACTTTTTAACAGATTGGTTATGGAACCACTGAGAACAGCCCCCTCACATTTCTGGGATTCCCACAAGACAAAGAGGAGCTGAAGACAAATACTGTTGGCTGTATCATGAGCCACACTGAGGTAAGCCTTGTTCCCACCCCCAAAAAAACCCCCTGCTTCTACATTCACCATAACAACAGCGATCTAAGCCTGTGTGTCTTTACCGAAGGCTAAAGTGGTGGACCCCGACACTGGGGAGATTGTCCCTGTGGGGGCCTCGGGGGAGCTGATGATCAGAGGCAGCTGTGTGATGCACGGATACTGGGACAACCCCGAGAAAACCAGAGAGGTCATCTCCCAAGACCGCTGGTACAGGACCGGGTAAGATACCACCTGCGTACTCAATCAATTTTATCCAAAAAGAGACTCGTTACATGTCGTGCGATTGTTTTCCTGCACAGCGACACGGCCAGCCTCGACAGTTTGGGGTACTGCCGCATCGAAGGACGAATGAAGGACTTGATCATCCGAGGAGGGGAGAACATCTACCCGGCCGAGGTCGAGCAATTCCTCTTCACACATCCCAAAGTGCAGGAGGTGCAGGTGAGGCTCACCGCCACTGGGGGGCAGCAGAGGTCAGACTCATCGACTCCAAGCAAGCGAAAGCCACATCTTTTTTTTTTCCCTGCCTTCCGCGGTTGTACCCCAGGTCGTGGGAGTGAAAGATGAGAGGCTGGGTGAGCAGGTGTGTGCCTGCATCAGGCTGAGGAAGGACCAGACATCCAGCGCAGAGGAGATACGAGCGTTCTGCAAAGGACAGGTGAGTGCAGGTTAAGTGAACCACGCAAGTGTTTAACTCGCTGGGAATCCACAAGGCTGACATTGGTTTCATTCCGGTTAGATTTCCCACTTCAAGATCCCCCACTATGTGATCTTCGTAGACAGCTACCCTCTGACGGTCTCTGGAAAGGTACGATGGCGCCGCTGTGACACTGACAGAAGCAGAGCTCTTACTGTTGATCGGTGCGATGACACTGATGTGCCAACGGTCTGTTTTTCCAGATTAAGAAGAACATATTGAAGGAAGAAATGGAGCAGAAGTTAGGCCTGTAAACCTTTGGACCCCGATCGACTGTCTTTGAATGTCAGAAAGGAGCAGTGTCGAGCTGGACTGGGACTCTAACTAATCATCCGCTGAATTGTCATTGTCATTTTTATTTTATTTTAATATTGATTGAAAAATACAGTGAGCTCGTCTCATCTTTAAGCTTGACATTTAATTATTCACCTTAAGAATTGTTGAATTAAAATAAAAGCAAATGGTAGTACACAAATCTTTTACTTCCATGTAATACTACGTCATGTTTAAAGACACACAAGTATTTTATTAACTTTTTGACATAGCATACAATTACTTTAACATTTTCATGGCATAGAATACAATTAGTTATTTTACACCTTTTTAGAAAATATTTTCTTCCGGCCTATTTTTACTATCCATAAAAGCATATTTCTTTGCAATTGCTTTGGTGACATACAATACTATACTTTATTATATATATATTATATATATTATATAATAATAATGTGTTAACAGCACAGAACAAAGCAATCAACTTACGTTTGGGATAAATAAAACTAAATGAACCATCATTACAAACTACACAATATCTATTTTTCATCTCAATCTTTATTTGCTTAAACAATTTGAACAGAACAATTTGATATAATACAATAGCTTCAACCATTCATTACCTGAACATGCCATTCAGAATCTAAAATAAATAGTGCCAAACGTCAGTATGTACAAATACGCTATGCAAAATGACCATTCTCACAAGCTATGTACACGGACTGCAGGACACACTTCAGTAACAGGCTCACAGAGCGCCCAAAATGACACCTCATATTTTCAAACTAAAATAATACTGATGGCTTCAAATTATTCTTTGAGATGGTGTCTCAGAGATCTATGAAATTAAGAAATATGTGGGAAAAATGAATTTATGTAAAAAGTGAACACATAGCCAGTAATCAGCCAAAGAAAAAAACAACACAGAATTAAGTCAAATGAACATCAGGTTCACACAATAGCAGATAATCAGCAAATATGCTGCATGACACAAATGCCACATTGGACCATGAATTAATACCAAAATACCTGCCAAGGTTAACGTACGGTGTCAGAAATAATCCTTCATTCTGTTTAGAGGATCTTCAGGGAGTTTTATAAAGCCAAATTGAATCTACCTTTATTATTCATGGGTAGTTGTCATTATATCGGAATGAGCTAAATGGGCCGATCTCAATTGTTTAAAAAAAAACAAAAAAAGCATCTAAAAAAAGGGGCAAAACTCAATGGACGTCCCCTGAAAAACAAAACAGAAGCTGTGGTTGGTTTTAAGTGCAGGGTAAGCTCCAACCTTTAGCATGGAGGCTACTTCCAGACGGGGCGAGTAGCCGCTTACAGGAGGGCCGACTGCCATCTGGCTACATGGCTTAGAACGGTCAACATTCACTTCAGTCATGAACACGGGGTGCAGCTGGGACTCGCCTACCCCAAAATACATATGCACACATGCAAAGCAAATAGGAGATGTTGTATCTTGAAGCATTCTGTGAGATAAATTAGTTATATGAACACACATTTTTAAATACAATACAGTTTAAATTGAAAATAGTTTAACTGTGCAATTTAATAGAAATGCCGGACGAAAAAAGGAAAAGGCCGGGGTGAAGCTTTGGTCTGCTGAGGACCTTTTGTCGAGGGGACAGTCGCGGTCAGCTGAACGACGGGAACCCAAACTGTAACGGTGCCTCTTCGCGGGTTGACTGTCTGAAGAGCAACACATCAGCAAATGGCTTTCACACGAGCACAGTACGGCTATAGGCACATGCAAGAGTGTGGGGGGGGAACACATGCACCCATGGCTGTGCGCCGCCTCACAGGCGCGCTCGGCGCCGCAAAGGGGAGGGACGCGGCTCCGGTGTACCGTCGAGCTGCTTTCCACGCGTCACATTCAAAAAAATGCACATTCCCAAACAGGGGCGGGCGGGCGGGCGCGCGCGCACGCACGCACGCACGCACGCACGCACGCACGCACGCACAGTAGAGGTGTGTGTGCGCGCTTTGGGACGCCTCACATTCTCAGAGGCAGCAGGCCCGGGGGAGACACCGCTCTGGAGGTCGCCATGGAGGTCAGGGAGCTGGGGTCCAGTCCATTTACAGTCCTGCCGTCGCCACACGGACATTTTCAATATTAGCAAACGCAGACACACACGTGCAGAAAAACCTGGTAGAAATCACTGGATTGCTGGAGAAGACTCACGTTTTGTCAAAGTAAGTAGTGTGTAGAGAATGAGAGAACTTTGTGGCATTGCTGTTGATGAGTTTGTCGTTGTCTAGAGAGTAATTCTTTCTTGCTGCCTGGTCTTTGGCAAAGTTCCTACAGGCGGCGATTTTGGACTCCAAAGCCTGGTCACAAAGCAGGAAGTTAGATCTGCATTCGTCCCCCGTGCTTGAGGACACACGGCTCCTCTGTCCTCTGAAACCTATACAGATAGTAATGATGTTTTCAATTTAAAAGGAATGTCACCTACCCCAACCTTCCTCAGGAGATCGCCAACAATGTTTAGAGCCGAGATTCTAGCGGAAGGAGTGAGGGACGAGTTGCCACATCCGTTGGTCAATGCTGCACAAGGACACAAGCGGATATCAGAACACGTATCCGCCAATTTCCAATTTCAAAATGTGTAATAAAGAGTGAATTCCTCCTGACGTTTTGGGCTGATGAAGGAGTGCTCGGTGGTCTGTCCTACGGGTGTGGCTGGGAGGGACAAGGAGGCCGGTACTTCAGGATCCATCTTGTCGATGTCTAAAGTGGGCGAGCTGGGTGCTGACATGCGGTCCGTGGTCCGCTCCCGTACCGCCAGCTCCTGTCTCAGGTCTGCAGGAGAAAGACTCAAGCCCGTGAGATGCGTCTCCAACTGACCCTTTCACAGGGAGACGGATTGGATATTTCCGCCTTTACCTCGTGCTTCGTCTTTCAGCCGCTGCACGGACACAAGCAGAGACTCCTTCTCGTCCAGCTCACTCTCTAGGAAGGCGTTTCTCTCAATGGCCTGGTTTAAACGGGCCTCAAAGTCCTCCAGGGACACTATCGTCGCCCTGCACATGAGCACCGGCAGAAGGGCACAGTTGAACTTGAATGAACATTGAAGTAGGACCATTAAATCTAAGTCACATACATGTACTTATATCGTCTTTTCATATATTGACCAAAAAGCACCGGGGCAGTCTGACCTCTTTGCTCGTTCCAGGTCGTCGTTGGCCTGCTCGAGCTCCCGGACGTATTTGTTGAGCTGATCCTTGATGCTGCGCGTCTGTCCCAAGTCATCCTCCAGCATGGAAACCTGTTTGTAACTCTGTGCATACTGATGCTCCAGTTTGTCCTGAAGTGAGGGCGGGAGGTAAAGAAGAGAAAAGAGGAAGGAAGAGAAGCAAGGACATTAAACACACCAGCAGAAAAAAGAAGGAATGCATTTGCGGCGCACAGCTTGAAAAAAGAACCCCTAAAATAATAACCAGACAATAACCAGATAGAGGATCTTTTCTAGGGTTAGGGTTACTTTTTATGTCTGTATCATGGAACCAGAGCTGCAAAGAGAGGAGAGTAGGATTCATGATCCCGCTGGTTCACTCACTTGTGCATTAGCTGCTGCAATTATCCCCACACGTTCACGGCTCTATGAAATATCACAGTACCTTTCGGTACAGTGGACACATTCATTAGTGGGCGTGTTCACCAGACGAGAGCACACTGAATAGAGCCACGCCTGCTGTGACTACGGACCAGACGTGTCCTGGCAGATCTTCCGATCCAATTAAGGAGTGCTGGAGGATTACCTGAGCATACCTTATTACCTGCCCACGTAAAAATAAGGCCTCTGACCAACAGAAACCTCTCAAGTAACAGCAAATGTATTTATTGGTGCCCACTTAAAACTACAAGATGAGTCGTCATGCCCGCTCACCTTGAGGTTGGCCACCTCGTTCTTCAGTCTCTCGTTTTCAGTTTGGAGATCTCGCAGGCGGTGTTCAGCCTGGCAGAGCTGGGCCTCCAGCTCTGCCTCCAGCTCCCGGCTCCCTTCCTGGAACTCCTGCAGCTCCTCCTGGGCGTCATAGCAGCTGGACGGGTCGCGCACACACACACACACACACACACACACACACACACACACACACACAAACAATCATTGTCAACCGGCAGCTACCCAGTCCACTATCCACCATTCAGTTAGCTGACAGTCTGAATATCCCTGCAGGAGCCCGTCAGATACTTTTATTTGAACCTTCAGTCTGCCTTCGCTAAACAGGAAACGGTGCGTGGCTCAACATTCTAAATATACCGATGTAACGAGGCAGCTGTAGCGTGGCGAGAGTTCAGAGGTAGCGCAGAGAAACAAGCCTGTTGTCATTGAGTCATCTGCTGCGAGTTCAAAAGGTCAGAGGTGAAAAGAAAATGAGAGTTCACGGACAGGAACTGTGTTAGGAACACGGATGTGTGTGTGTGTGTGTGTGTGTGTGTGTGTGTGCATGCTGGTAAGGACTGATCCCATGTGTGTACTCTCACACTCTTTAGGCCAGTTCTGAATTGTGTAGATTCCATCAAGTAAACATCGGTAGGAACAATAACTGTGGTGGGAATCTCAGATCTGAGGTATTCTTCATGGACCCTCAGGGTGTGCAAACACACGATGACACCGCGGTTGACACGGTTCGGACATCAGCTGACCGCCGATGAGGATAATGGCCTCACAGTGGCTCTACAGAGCACTGGAAGCCATGAATCAGTTCCACACATACCACGGTTGGCTGCTTCATCAGCATGCTGGGCCCTGGAACTTCTCTCGCACTTTTCACCGTTTAAAAACAACCAGCAGCTCTCGGCATTTGTGACATGGAGAAATCTGATATTCATAAACTGGATGTCCTACAAAATGGAAACAGTTGCAGAATACCCCTTCAGGGAGAGAAGTAACGAATGAGAGTGGTTCACTAAAATGGAGTCCTGGGAAAGTGTATGCACAAAAACATGTGTGAGACGAGCCACTATGTTCTCCGTGGTTAGAGGTTTTTCCACTGGGTGCCTTCTTAGAAACCCACGAAGGCTTTAACCCTCCCGTGTGCAGGTTTGCACTTCCTCTGAGGTTACGACGGGGCCCAACTCCACAAATAGGAAAGACGGCGCGGCCGAGTCGGACAAAGATTACGAAACACTAACAAGCATCACAGCTGCTTACGCAAACACAGTTTGTTTGTTTGCGGTTTCTAGTGAATGATGAGTCTGCTTATGTCATACACATTACCGCTGCAAACGGTTAGACTCAAACTTCTCATGTAAAAAAGGGAATCGAGGTACCTACCTTTTCTTATACTTCAGGGCTTGGGACTTCCAGTAATCCACTTCTTCATCCTTTGACGTAAATTTGGGAATCATCTCTTTTTCCATGTCAGGGCAACCTGAGGATTAAAGAGATGGTTTAACGCCCTCACGGCACTTTCATTGACGGTGGAAGTAGACGTGACATCGACGCAAGGCGACGCTCGTGAGGTTAGAAGAAGAAAAAGCATTGAAGACATAATGCAACAGGTGGGCCAGACCTGGTAAAAGCCTTTCACTGCATGTTTTCCTCTGGCATGTACAGTCATGCCCAGAGCGCTGCCCTCTTATCTCAGTGCTGAACCACCCGACAAATCTAGATTAAAACATTCCCCTCATTGCTCAAAGAGAAGACAATCGTATCTCTCTCCACTCAAAAGCCAGATAGGCCAGGTCACGTCATCCTGCCGCTCCGAGGTCACCGCATCCGCAGTTACTCGTGAATCACTGACCGCATCCTCCGGACATTTAGAAGTTATGATTAACTGACTTAACCTGTCACCAGCTCAGTGGAAGTGTGCCCCCTTTAATAAATGTCCAACCTCGCAGCCCAACTGCTGTGCTGTCAACACGACTAATTAATTAAAGGAAATGCGTGTGAAGTGTTTCTGAACCGATCGGAGCCGTCTGTTGTAGCTCAGTTGTGAACTGTTTCTAGCTTCCATCCGGTTGGCCAACGTAACACTTCCCTAAACGGTTGATCCGCTTTTTTCTTCTTCTTCTGGTGAACTAATAAACGCTGCATCTCTCTGTGATCTCTGTGGACTAACGAGGCGGGTTAGAGGAAAAGGTTTAACACATCTGCAAAGACCCGCGGCATGTGTGTGTGTGTGTGTGTGTGTGTGTTTTATGTGGGTTGAACACAGCTCCCGTTGCTGTGGCTCCTGGAAGATTCATAATCCAAAACAGAGATGAGAAGGATTTCCTGCCGATAAGTCAGACAAGTGGAGGATGCAGCATAAGGAAACACCTGAGCTGGACTGAAGGTCAAGCAAACTACTCTCAAACTACTCTCAACAGTTATTATTGTGACCAGACAAGCCTGTCTTGGCTTTAGGAAGAGGGTGTGTTGTTTTCCTCTCCAGGAATGTCTAGACTCGTAAGCAGTGAAGGGGCTGCCTATTTTTTTTATACTTCAAAACATTCCTCTGAGGTGGCGTCATCTGCAATTTAGCCGCTACGGGCCCCTCGAGGGTCAGAACACTACTTTGGGCATCACAAAAGAAACCGGAGACCAAAATACCCCGAGAGGAAAAAGGGGGAAACAAACCAAACGACTTGTTCTATACAGAAAACAGAATTACTAGTAAACATAGCACGTCTCCATTTGTAACGATGCCCAATGGAATCTGCCGCTTTCTTTTAAATTACCCCGGGCCCTCAAAAAGACGCAAGTGACATTAAACTGTTTCCATGGTGACTCAGATCAAAAGGCTTTTTTAAAATCAGGATAATCAACTCCACCCCTCCCAAAAAAATGGCATCGCTAATCAATAGCCCACTGACCAACGACAGGAGCTGACCGAGCAATCCTTAGTAAAACACGTGGACAGAGTGGTGCCCTCACTGGTAACACAACACGCTGCCCACAAAGTCACATTACGTAACAGATCGAGGACCGAGACTCTACCCAAACTAAAATGAGGGTTCCCGTTATCTCTCAGTTCAGATGTCAGTTTGACCTCTGGGCTTAGTGGTCAGGCATCAGGGATCACAGCCAGCAAAGGTGGTGGAGATACTGTGGGGCCATCTGGATCCTACAGACCAAAACACTAGTTTCCCATCGCACGTTCTTGTCTGCATCTTCTTTGGTAAAGATGACAAGATGCTTACTCAGAGTTAGACCGCTGACGCTGATGCCGTCACAAATGTAGTCATGGGTCCACTGAGAGGGGGGGTCAAATAGCTCTCTGCAGTCTTATTTTGAGTTTGCTCTAAAGGTGAATAATAATCGGACAGCCCGCTTTACAGGGTGTGGTGGAAGGGCTCCCCGGCACCGTGTTTTAATTAAAATTGTCACACTGTTGATCATCAAGTCGTCAACAAAAGGAAGCTTTACTACAAAAGTGACCTATAAAACAATGAATAGAAGGACATGCAATGTGCCCTAAATCCTCCTTCCAGCTGGAGGTTGTGATTTATCGTATCGTTACCTGAACGCACCATTATTAACGCGAGGCTGTCTGACAGCCGTCACTGCGTGGCGAGGGAAGGGAAAAGCGACCGAGGCAAGGATGGAAGGAAACATGAGATTCCACGTACTTAAAAGGCAAGTTAAAATGACATATGAAGCATTATCATAGCGAGAGAAAAAAACAAACAGCGGACACTAGAACCCGAGCCCGAGCGGTTCTCTCGTTGACAGCTAGCTTCACGGGTCAGACGTCAAACACGTCCGGACAGTTGTCCGTCGAGGTTTGGTTCTGTATTTACCTGCTCATGTCAAATCGTCGTCCAGCTATCTTCTGACTCGGTGGGGCCGGTGTCGTATCCAACACACAAACACACACAGACACACGCCTCTCTCCTGCCTCGAATGATGTTTAGGAAATTGCCAACGCGTCTCCCGGAACCAACGTAGGATCCCAACGTACGTACGTTCTGACGTAATCCCGTCCACGTCAGAACTGGGCAGGGCTGCTATAGAAATGCATCTACTAGAATCGGCCGCACCTTCTTTCTTTTTGAACATAGGCAGTGACCACAAGGGGGCAGATGATATCCAGAAACCATCACACAAGGTAAGGGAAGATATAGAAAAATCCCACGTCTATGGTATTGTGTCCCTTTCTGTTGTTTCAGCGGTGATATGTCCCCTTAATTTCGCGATTTTCTTGCACAACTGCATGCAATCTGGTCGATATACTGCTTCATGCTGTATATGAGCAATCAATAAAATGCAATATAATTTAATTTACCATTGCCAACATTTAGGAAATACATTGCAAATATTGGACAAAAGGGCAATTGATAGCGCCACAAGTAGCCTGCATTATTCATCGAAAGAATTGGACATTTAAATCTGTTGGAATTTAATTCTAGGATAACTAAAAAAAATAAAGAAAACGTTTTTTAGTGAGTTTATTGAACTTATTTATATTTTGATGTAAACTAATTAATATATTACCACTCTTAGAATCTGAGTCGGTCCTTGGACCCCGATCGAATGCACAAGCAAAAAGTTCAACTAACTTATATCAATTTTGTAAATCTTGATTAAATTGAGACAACTTTGATCTCATTTATCAGGAAACATTTATCCTTTATTTAGCAACTGCCATTAACTCGTTTCATGTTATAAAGATACAAATATAACGAATTTATTTATTTATTATTCAAGCAAATCCAATATTATCACAACAAACTGCAACTTAAAAAAAATGGTCAAATGTGCTATAGTATCGCAGGCCTGTCAGGACTGTCAGTAGGAGCGCTGAGACACGAACCAGCTCAGCAACATGAGCTGACAATAGGGGACCCAATCAGAGAAGTCCCTGGCAGTCAGAGGTGGCTGGCCCTGTTTAACAAGGCGCAGCCTCCACCTTTGGAATTCACCTTTACCCAGGAATCGACCTTTAATCTCCACAGTTTCCCAACCCTCCTTGCGCAGTGGATGCGTTTCCATCCATGGAATTATATGAAGAAGACGGCCAGCAGGACGCAGAGGAGTGCCCCGTGTGCTACGAGTGTCTGTCGGGCACGGAGAGGACCCTGAGCTGCGGACACGTGTTCTGCCATGACTGTCTGGTTAAAACGCTGGTCAGCATCTACGGCGATGGAAACATCAGAGACACCATTGTTTGCCCCATCTGCCGACACCTTACTTTCATCAAGAAACAGAAGGAGGCATTCGTGGCCGTCGCCGCGTACAAGGATCCAGGTGAAGGGCAGACCCTCGAGGTACCTCTGCCTCCGCCACCGGGACGGCTCCAGGGCGCGCGGCGCGCCTCCGGGGGCACTTCGCCGGCAGAGGTTAACTGGATAGCTCGCTGTTACGGGCTGATGGCTGATCGATTCCGTCGACAGATGTTGATCAGTCCCCGACACACTCAGATCTTCATCATAAGTGCCCAAGGGCGACCAATGGCTGAATACGACGCGCTGAGCGTTGTGATGACTGTGGTTCAGCCCCGGCGCAGGCGAAGGGTCAGGATTTGCACAAGTGCGCGATGCCTCCTCGTTTTACTGTCATTATTTACTATACTGGCACTAGCGGCTGCGACTTTACCTTGGATTTTTCTTGCATAGCCCAGTGATGTCTGCATTAGGAAGGTCAGTCATGGAACGATACAACTAAAAAAGGGCAATGACGTACATCTTACTTACTTACTTACTTGTCTTACTGATGCATTTCGGGAAATAATAAATACGCTGAAAATGTACCATCTTATAATGTTAATATACTTTGGATTGCAACAATGTTTTGAGATGTTGTCATTTCCTTCTCTGAAGTCAAGGAGTTTATGTGCATTGCCAAGCAACAGCCTGAGCTTAAAGTCTCCACAGCATGTGGGTTGTCTCGCATTCCTGTCTGTGACACGTTCTACCTGTTTTACCAGAAGCTGTTTACAAAAAAAAAAAGGGTTGAACGAAATGTCACATAATATATACCTGTAACCTTCCTTGATAAAGTAGCTCAAGTCATTGTTTTGTTACCCTGCTGTTGTGAGGTACACTGCGTCCGAACAAACGGTACACCTCAGAGCTGACATCTATCCCACTTTGGGATTAAAAAAAAAAATGTGTCTTTAAAATAACAAAAAGGAGGAGTTACATTTTGGCAGCAAGTGTATAGAGCTTGGTTTATTAAGTGTAACAGACCGTGTCAGAATATCATGTTGACACACTTCCTATGTTCCTTACATTAAATAGAGGGAACATGTCAGACATTTGACATTTAAAAAAAAATATTTTAAGCCTTCACATCCTTATCAAGTAAGAAAAGGCAGCCTGGACTGAGTCTGAGGTTTTGTTTGAGCCGGGTAACATCCAGGCGACTGGCTCTCCTTGTGTGGATGAAGACAGTGTAAACAGAGCCACCGTTCAAACTTTCAGTGAGAAATAATTGATGCCCCCTTGGTAGTCTGAAGGAGACATTTAGCAGGGATGAGCTGTGCCTGACTGGAAGGAGATAGACTGCTGGACTGTGGCATTACATTACAGCAGGCTCTTCTTGGAATAAGTGTGACGTTAATCATTCTTGGAGATAAAAAGTTCACAATCCATGAAGAGGAGTTGTCAGTATCGCCACCATCCTCGACAACCACTCCTAGTTTCCTCCCGATTAGCGATTCCTCGGCTATCCTGCTGGCCCAGTCCTACAGGTTGCTCACCTGAAGAGGCCCCTGCTTTTTAGTCATACCCCATCAAATTGAACTACTAGGAAAAACAGCGGTTAGGTGTCTGGCACGCCGTCGGATACATTCCGCTAGGATTGACCTCCAGGTGGCTTCGGAAGAAGCAGTCAGATCCCATAAATAACTAATTATGTGTCTGAGTATAAGAAGCATAATAATCTCAATGTTCGGGTGGCCAATGTTTTTGCTACAAGACTTATCTTGTGGATCCTAAGATGATTTATGTTTGAGGAAGAAAACTAAATATAGTTTAGATGCAAAAATCCAAATTTTAATCCTCTCTTTTAACATGTTTTCTCTCATTAACAGTTGTGAGCAAACAAGACCATCCCCATGGTTACAAGCAAGATAGATAGTTACATTTTTCACATAATTTTGTATTTTTATTTGATGTAAAATCTGATTAAATAAACAAGGTGCTACGCTCACATAATTTAATATTTTTTCAAGCATTATACAATTTTTAAAGGCCAAGGTCTCAAGATCACACTGCCCAAATTTGCTCAGGGAAGATACTTGTCTTGACATGTTAAGCCACATCCCTTAGAAGTTATTTAAGAATATCTAGTTAGGCACATTCGCATACCATGATTGACGTTTTTGTAGCGCACATCCAAGAGCACCTGTGTGCAAAAAGTCCATCGGCAAAACCAGGCGAAAATACAATAGGTTAATTAAGAATGAATTATAAGTTAAAGTTCTGATAAAGTATGCTTGTTTTGATCCTAACTTCTTCAACAACTGTTGGGTGGCTTTATGCCTTTTATTCATGAGAATATAATTCTACGAGATTATCATTCATTTTCATGTATTGACAACGTCTCTGAAATGTCAATTTTTCAAGAGAACGACAGTCCTGCTATCACCTTGGTGATCACGCAGTTCTCAGGTGATACAAGAGGGTTATTAAATAGTTTACAAAGAAGTAGGAGAATTCTCTCAACCCATCAAAGAACACTTCATTCTTCTGTCCAGCAGAAGCATTCAACGTCACCTCGGTTGGAGAAATTGAATTTGCCAAAAAGAGATAGAGCAAAAATGATATTCGTCTTTGAGATATCTAGTGGAGAAGAATGAAGTTGTATTGTATTGTAACAGAAAAGAGTTATTTAAATTAAGTAATTAACTACTTAAGTAAATGTGGGTTTGAGTGGATTAAAAGGACAACAATTGTAGCAGAGTAGACGTGGCAGAAGACAGAATTACTCACACAAAAAATATACGTACCTCAGATTTCTAAAATACATCTTGACTAATAGTTATCATGAGGTATCCTCACTTATCCAATTAAAACCCCTGAAATAAAACTCACATGAACCAGGTGGGATTATTAAAAATGTAGACTTTAATATATATATGTATTTATATATATATTTATTTCTGACATTCTGATAAGGATTGCAGGTAGGCTTCACAGTACACACTGTGTTCCACTTGATATGCTAAGCAGAGGAGGAAGGGGTGCGCGCGGTGGGCTTGACAAGCGGCAGGTTTTGTTTGTACACTTGTAGTGAAAGCAGAGGGAGGCTGTACGTCCACAGGCAACATCCGCTCCTCTACACCTATTGCTCAAAACCCCACAGAGGACCATTTATTGTGATCCACAATCTCCCTCTCCGCATTTCACCCCTCTTACAATCCCCCCCAAAAAGACATGTGATTGACACAAAACATGGATTATCAAAAGACTGTCCAAGCGCATGCATGAGACTTTTTCAGATTTTTCCTTTTTTCTCATATACCTCCCCCGACAAAACATGAACAAATGACGGTGTAGGTGAGTTAGGAAATGGACGTCTACAGAAATTCAAATGCTTGATACAACTATGTAGGAGTTGCGCCATTTGGTGAAACAGGTGGCTTCTGTCACGCTCTGGAAAACTGCCGTAGAGTTACTGGCAGAAACCAGCAATGGAATTATGACTTGTGTTTTGAGGGAAGGTACAGGTGTTTTATTCTTTTCAGAAGTATAACAATCCGACCGAGAATGAATATGAACGCATGCTTTTAGGTGGCTGTAATTATGATGCACAAAAGCATTACAGTAATACTGCACTGCACTTATAACAATACATGCCCACAGGCCCTAGCTAACTTTCATCCAAACACAAGCTCTCAATTGCCTATCGGTTATTACAAAATAAGATATAAGCCTATCGTTTGAAATGAGTCAGTCACATTCAGTCCGCACAGAGAAAAATACCCCTGCCGCCTTGTAAAATAAAAAGAATGGATCCAGCACAGAAAATAAAACCTCTAGTACACATTAATTATGCTTATAGTTCCAACGTAACGACCAGAGTGAGGGCACTTGCAATTGTTGTCATATAATCACCACAACTATCAATATAATTATCAACGTCACCAAAATCTTCAAAGAGAACGCACACAGAGGCATACCATTGATCACTATTGTAGATTCCGTTTGGCCAGAGGAAACTCACGCATAAAACAAACAGAATAAATTAATTGCTTTGCAATAAAATCAATGGCTTCTTTTCTGTAGGCGTGGGAAAGGTGACTTTGACCACTTTTTGGATTCAGGTGGATCAGTTAACACTGTAATTGCACTTTAATTGACAAAATTAGTCCTAGGACATTTTTCTATGGAATTAAAAAAGTGATCTGTTATCTGATGAACGTGAACTAGCTCTGATTAATTGTCTGTGAGAATACCAACAAAGGACTGAGTAATTTAACATTTCTGAAGGTGTGCCAACTATCTTAGTATTTGTCTGCCATTCTAATTGATTGAGCGTATATTTTTAGTCAGTCCCACGGTATAGTTCCGGATTCCATCTATCCTTATTAAGAATTAATTAAGCGATCAGAGTCGGCTAACAGCAATCCAATCATCTACACAAGAATCTATTAAATTACTGATTAAAAAAGGAAAAAAAGATAGGGCATGGGTGTGCAACTCATTATTGCTCCAGCATGTTTGAAGTCAAAGCTCGGGAGTGAGAATTAGAAAAAACACTATTGTTTTCCGGCAGAAATACCTTTCACATTTCTGCTGCATCACCATTGTTACCTGGTGTTAAAGTGAAACACTACATCAACAGCAAACCTGTTCATTGTGTGCAGGGACAAAAATAACAGCACATTTTTAATCATTACATTTTCTACACATGATAGATATCAACACATATATTATTACTATATATATTCCAGATATGCATTTTACATATAATTTTCCTCTTAGATTTATATACATCAATTTCTGTACAGTCTATGTATTTACACTAGGGGTCAAAGGTCACTGAACCTGAAGCACTTGAAACAAAGTTAAGAGAGAGACTCATACGAACCTAAAGGCAGTGTAGTCATCCATCCATCAAGCTGTTACAGCACACGCGTGGTCTAAATATACTCCGAGGACAACAGCAGCAAAAGCATTCACACAAAATAAAACCCTGTCATTCGGAGGCCCTTGATCCAAAGCAGTCCGTTCATATTGGCTTGTCATGCAAACGCACCGTGGTGCTTTTCTGTCAGTAACATTCTTCTCATACTGTGCTGGTATAAAGTGAGTTGAAGTGAGCTTACCTGGATGACAGTAAATTATAGAGAACTATAGTTGTGATAAGTGAAAGAAGAGCAAAAGTAAAGTTTGAGCCGTGCCAATAAGAAGTAAACTTCATGAAACGTTTCAGCTTGCATGCAAAACCTTTCTCCGCGGCCCAGCATTTTCCTAATGTGCACAAAGCTCGAATACCCTGTTAGCAATATAACAAGTCTACTCGCTGTATCTCTGTTTCACCCTGAGGATGGGCTTGGCTCCTAACTATGTCAGGCTCTGAGTTTCCCTTACCAAAAGTTGCAAAACGTGTGAATATCATATTGCAATTTGATTGCATTTTCTAATAAGGCAAAAATAAACTGGAAAACACAGAAATACAGACCACTGCAAAGATGAACAAAGGCAAAGAAAAAACCCTAACAACAAATAAATAAATACATCTTAATGTGATACTCATCTATATTCCAGTCTTTTCTCCTAAAGGCAACTGTTCCTCAACTATGGCATTTTGGTGTTTTTTTTCTGTAGTCACATGTATGTAGTAGCGAGCAATTGTAAGAGATTAGTTTCTTTGCAGCCTGTGGCAGATGTGTTCGCGTTCTGGTTTCAGGTGGGCTTTGGTGAGGCCAAATGGTGTTTCCATCAGGCCTTGGTGGCGACAGTTAAGAGCATGTATAGCCACAGGGGTGCTGGTAAGCTGTGATGCCTTAGGGTCATAGGTCATAGAGTGGTGCTCAGTGGTTCCTCCTCAGGCACAGCGTCCCCCTCCGGAGAGTCTGTCACTGCCACGGACCTCCTGCAAGGGGCACCGCTGAACTCATCGATGAGGCTGTCCAGATTGACATTGAAGGAGGGGATTTCATAATTGAAGATATCTAATGGTGAGCATGGTGGGAGAGGTGAGTGATGAGGAGCAGAATGGTGGAAATGGTGATGAGGAGCAAGAGGAGGAGGAGAAAAGGGCATATGACGATGACAATGAGGTGTAAAAAACGGAAGAGAGCAGAAATAATATTAATCTTTTTGAGCCTGAACTCATGGAAAGTGGCAAATGATGTCTGTCCTGGCTTAAGTCACCAGTAGAATATATGGGCATCACATTCTACACAGGGTGAGTTACACAAGTGTGTTTGCTGGTTTCACCTAAACAAGCAACTAGTGTGGTAAGTCACAGCTTTTTGTGTCTTTTGAGACAACAGCAACAACCGATACTTTTTCAGATAAAATACAATAACAGGTCGAAATGACTGACCGATGACACCTTACTGCACACATTTACAACAATGGCCAGGTAAACCAACACAGAGGCAACATGATGCGTGTGGAACCAAGACACCAAGTGGGCTCGAAGCAACGATGGACATCCAGTCTGGATACAGAACTTGATCTGAATATATTCTAATGTGCTGCTGCATTTAACAATAGCAGAGACTGACAACTACTCCTGTGTAGGAATGAGATGGAGCGTGGAAGTGTTGTAAAAAGGGGAGCAGAGGTTATAAAAAGCGATGAACCTGCCAACAACGGGAAGAGCGGGTTACCTGTGGCCCCCCCCCGGATACCGGTGGCGGGCGCGTTAAAAAGGGGAATGTGTTCTGGCATAAGGCCGTGAACAGGAAACCAAAGGAAGGCGGGAGGGGGGCTTTAAGATGGACCTTTTTAAGCGACGGCGTCTGCAATGTGAGCGCAGTGTGGTGCACTCTGGGAAGTCCTTGAGCCGTGCGAGGATTCAATAATGCTAACCTGCTAATTGGAAACAGGGAACGTTTCCTAATAACGGGCTGCAGGTAGCTACGGGTACGTTTGGAGCAGGCTGCAGGAGACCCCAGAGGCAGCCACAGCACAAGGCCAGGCAGTGAGATGGAGCGCATGGGGCGGGGACGGTCTGGCTTACCCTAAAAGTCCCCCTCACACTTAGCCCACACTGAATCCCTGGCCTCACACAGCTGCAAGGTACACAATAGTAGCAGGAAGGGACAAGAGAACGATAAATATTGCAAAGTGACAAAATGATTGGTATATAATGACAGAACACCTCATCATCAGACATCATACTGCAGCTATAATGTGGGGTTTGTCTGGCTAGGCCTCCATGCCTGCTACGCAGAGAGAGAGAGAGAGAGAGAGAGAGAGACTGGACCGGTGTGTACGCCTCTGACCTACCTCTGCCAAGTGGGGGTCTGGGTAACACAGATAAACAGAGAGCACAAGATGAATCTAATGGCAACTTCCATACAAGCAGGACGAGCTATGCTTCTCTGATGTTTCCACACATTACCCAGAAACATCATCACATAACACAAAGCAATGAATACATAGGTCAAGGAGATTCGCTCACTACGGTAGAACAGAAACGCTGATATTTACATATCTTTCTCAGGCATCTGTGTCTAAAAGGCAACTTTTTTTAATTCAGACATCTGTTTCGGGGACATTTGTTTTGGGAACAGTCAATAGAGGGGGACGGGTATCTTTATATCTATACGGCGAAAAGTCCCTAAAAGAGTCCTACACTCGTCCACCGTCTCCATTTGGACAGAGCCACAGCGAGTCTGAGAGCGGGCCGCTGCAGCTCCACCTGTGGTGGCCGGGGGTGGTGTTGTTGCCAAGGGATGTTTTACCTGTAGACATGCTTCTTCCCGGGAGAGAGTCCATCCAGGAGGCTCTGCTCCAGGGGCTGGGGGCCCGGGACCACGGCCCGGGCCAGTGAACCCCGGGGATGCGGTGGGCGGGCTGAGGAGGGGGCAGACTGGGCCTTCTGCCTGGGCTTAGGGCAGGCCGCGACTTAGTGAGCGTTCCGCCTAGTGATGGTGGGGACTAAAGGGAGTAGGGTGCCCCCAATGAGGTTTGCCCAGGGGAGGACGGGGGCACTAGGCCGGGGGGGCAGACCAGTCCATAAGGGGACGGGGTGCTAGGAGGCGTGGGGGACAGGCTGACCGGTGACGGCTGACCTGTGGACTGGTCGGACATCCCGCAGGACTGGCTGTAAGGGACCTTGGGAGGCACAGGGGCCAACTTCTTGGAGCCTACAAACAAACAATGCAGTTTAGTGTTAAAAATGAAAAACGCATTGGCTTAAATTGACAGACAGCCAGCTCAGATCGAGAGACGGCCTGACCTTTGCGCAGGGTGTGTGGACTGTGCTCTGTGGAGTGGAGGGACTGGATACTGCTATGAAGACTACAGCTGGGGGGGACAGTTGGACCTGCCACCTGGATTGCTTTGTGTCCAATGACAGGCGAGAGCTCTTTGCTCTTCAACGAACTGAAAGAGACAACAAGACATTAGTGTGTGAACAAACACCACAGGTTTGTGAACAGTATCTCATGTCCATTATCTCCTTGCCACGACAAACATTACCACCCACACCACCATCATCATCATTACCATCATCGCCGTCATCATCACTGTAATATGTACGTACATTGCTGCCAATATTACTCAGTTACGTCAAACCCAGATCTTATTTCAAGCAAAGCTACTTCAAAGTATCCTAAGTGTCTTTTAAACAACATTTTTACACACAAATGGTGCACATCAGTACATAAGTCCATACAACTACAATGAAGATGAAAAGATGAACATTAAGTGTTTATGCATTTGCAAAAGGTCTTTCTTATTTGTTGATGAAAATGTAACACACCAGTCAGGGATTTTACTAAAAGACTGCCTGACAAGCCAGATTGGTGTTTCACCATTATTGTTGTAGACCACAAAGATGTAATAATGAATAATTATGCATTATTAAAAAAATACATTTCAGTTTTCAAGAAAAAAAAAAGTCAGCCTCCAGGCATGTTTTTCATATCACAAACTTTCAATCCCTTTCTTCTCCAGAGATAAAGGGGCTTATGATGATGTAGAAACCAATATTGATTTTGAGAGCCTCATACAGTCCAGCTGGCAAATCAATGGACAAGATTTCACACTTCTGACAAAAACGCCACCAGATAAACAAGATGTGTATGTCTGTATTGAGCAAGAAATAGAAACAAGTGGCATGAACTGTGCCTCTGTGTTTAATGTCTGCAAAGTCAATTCAAGTGAATTTACTCAATAATATAGTTAAGTATGGTTGCAAAACTCCTGTGATACCACAAACAACAACAAACAGTACCGATATTACAATACGGCACATTAACTGTCGTCTTTTCACAAAAAAGGTCCATCTGAATGGGATGTCGTGGGGCTACCAAAGCACGAGAGGGAGCTTTATCAAGCAAGCTTGTTGTTGTTATCGCTCTTATTATTCGCTCTAATGACTCACACTGTCCAGTGTGGTTGTAACACCACGGAGGTATGAGTCAGGGAACTGTCACTATATACATACAAACAAACTCTGCACTTTGGGTCAAGAAGATGCACAAACTGTATGACGATATTCTTTACTGCAGCTCAAAGGACATCATTGCAAACACAATTCTTACAAACCAAAAAATCTTCTTCGCTTCCTCAAAACCGTTTTCCTGGTGCTGGTTAGTAAAAAAAATGCTGCTGTAGAATAAATACATTCATATGCTCTCCAACAGCCATATGTGGCATTGTCCATGTATTTATCGTCTACTCAATGCCGGCATGAAGCCGAGCGTTATATAAGCCAGTAACATCCTTTGTTGCTAGGCAACCCCCATGAGAGGCATCCCTGGACAACTTGAATGTTACAGAATCTGAGGTATGTACTTTGAAGGGGGGAGGAAAGAAGAAAAGCAAAAAGAAAATGTGAGCCAGCGAGCTAAAGGAGAGGAGAGATACAGATGCCACTCTGGGATGCATCCATAGTGGCCATGGGTGTGTTGTATTTACCTAGTCAGCCTGGGGGGTCCCTCTCTCTCGGGCACATGGGCAGGCAGCCCACGGCGGGGGGTGGGGGCGCGGGACGAAGGGAGGCTAGGGGGGGTTGCCAAGGGACTGGGTCATGGCGGGCTAGTACCAGGAGGTTTTGATGTAGAGTGGAGACGCATTAATGTCTGGTGGGGGGGGCATGCGACATGTCACGAGGCGGGCTATGCTTGGGGGAAATGCAGAACAGCAGGGTTTGGGGGTTCGATTGATGTCAAGTGACCAGGAGGATGAGGAGAATAAGAATGAAGGGGTGGCGCTGGGGGAGTGAAGCCAGACCAGCGCAGTGGGGGCGGTGGGGAGGCGGGGGGCTGGGACTCTGGACCCGGCGCCACGGGGCGAGCGCAGGGTGGGGGTTTGGGGTAGAAGAGGTGGGGGGCAGTGTGGCACGAGGAGATGGGGTAAGGGGGGGGTGGCCGGTCCTCCCCCGGGGGTGGGAGGGCATGAGAGGTGTCCGGCCGATTGGGCGACACGTTGTCAGAGCTGTAGATATTAAGAGAATAGACAGCACAAAAAACAGCTCTAGTGACTGAACAGGGACACGCACTGGAGCGATATAGGATACGTTGTTTGGATGATTAGGGTGTTAGTGTGTTAGTTGGTCCTTAGCCAAAAGCAGAAGAAGAAGAAGAAGAAGAGGAAAATTAAATTGCAGTTTTGGGGCGGGCGGTGGGCACCAAGCTCAGCACACAGTCAGCTTAGTGTGAAAACAAAGACAAGCGCAAAGAAAAAAGCAAAGGAAAAGAAAGATTGGTCGCCAAAGGAAAATAACACAGTAGGACTTCCTCTGTGATCGCCTTGTGTCTGCACAGTGCATGGAGCTGTGAGGATCTGACTCTGGAGCCAAAGTGCTGGTCTGCAGTCTGCGATAGTATCAAGAAGAGCTTAACGACTGAACATGTCCTCTCTGCTGCATAAGGAAACCCTATCTGCCGCCGCATCGTACGGTTTATGACTTGTTTGCATCAAAGGTCCTGCAGTCAGCCCAGGGCAGTGTGAAACAGACACAAAACCCTTTCATCGGCTGAAAGAGTACCAGGACAGGTGGGGAAAGCCAGCCAAGCCAGAGTCCAAAGCATCCATTGTCTGCCACACAGGCAGAGGTGATTATTCATGTGCTTAACTGTGATAATCATACCAAAAAAAGAAGGAGAAATCATTGAGGGTCAAAAAAGGAAACAATTCACAACCAAAGCTAAGAAAGCCAAGCCGCAACAATGGGATATTGGAAATATTAGCATGCTCGCAAAGGATAGATTGAAGCTTAGTGCCATGTACAGTAACAAAACTTCCCAACAGTATGTGGACGAAATCCCATCAGAGTCTGAAAGTGTCATTATCCTTTTGAAAATGTTCCCTGCAGTGACGGACGCGAACCTGACGAACAACGGGGAGAACTGAAGAAATGTGGAGTGTGAAAAATGACAATAATAAGTTGCAAAATAATAGCATGATTAAAACAGCCAATGATCTTGATCACCCGGCGCAGAGAAGGTCAATGGCGATGATGACGGTGGTGGTGGTGACAACAACCAAAATGAACAGAGGAGAGGAGGCGTGAGGAAGAAAAGGACGGCATCTCCGCTGTGACTTACCAGGCCCTTTCTCCAGGCGGCGGGGTCGTGGACGGGGAAGTTGCAAACTCTCCGGATTGCTCCGGGAGGAGAGTGTCTGCGGGGGAGCCGGGGCCTTGCATGCCCGGAGGTGTGGAGGAGGTTTTGCGCACCAGCGTGGCCGAACCCTTACGAGACACCCAGGAGGTATCCATCACGCGGACGCCCATGCTGCAAACAGACACAGTTCCAAAATCGTTTGATCTGATGAAAGGAGAGGTGAGTGGAGGGTTTGGGAGGAGGTCATTGACGGGGGGGATGGGGGGAGGGTAAGGAAAGGTTTGGGGAAAAGGGCACGATACAGTACCTTTGTATCTTCCTAATGCTGCGTTAGTAAGGGGAAGAGAGGAAAAGGGGATATGAGGTCAGAATGCCGACTTGAACAAGTACTCAGTACAGTGAATATGATGATGAGATGAGATCCACAGTGCAGGGGAGGGTGGGGAGGGGGGGGGGGGG